ATAATTTTAAAAAATTTTAAATTTCAATGTTTCAATATCTTTAGTGTTTTCTACACAATTCATTCAACAAAAACATAACTTTAGCCTGATGACTAAAGGGATGGGATGTTTTCCACAGAATTGTTTTGTTTATCACTGTTCTGATTGATTTAAGTTATTGGCCACTGTTCTTTTTAATGACTCATCAACCTTTTGCAGGTTATTTAAAGCCAGGAAATATTTTAAAATTCTAAGTTCTTGGGAGATAAGGATTTTTACTGATACAAGTTCTACAAATTAACCCATACCTGAGGGGGTGGGAAGAGAGAAGACATAGATTCATACCTTTCCCCAGGGTATTTGCATGGAAGTGAATATAACAAATATATATATGTATAGGCATGTGGCTGAGTGGTTAGAATGTTTGCTTTCTGATCATGAGACTCAGGTTTGAATCTCATCAGGGTTGATTTGTCAGTAAGGAGACTTCCTGACATTATTGGTCTGTTGGGTGGGATGATCCCAGCATGCGGCACCTTTGGAAAGTGCCTGAAAACTGTGTCATGGTTTGACTCAAGCCTTGTGAGTGAAACTGGGTAGACGGAACCCTTGGGTGCAGTCGATAGCTCTGCTAGCACAAAGTCACAAGTCATTGTGGCTGAGAGCTTGAGTGTGCTGGCCTTGTTCAAATTGTTGATCATGCTAGATAACATGCTTCCCTCCCAGAAACTGTAACTAAGGTCTGCTCAGTATAGTTGCAGTATAAACCACAGGTGGGCTCTGTGGGTGTTGAACAAACACAAATGTGCCTGATCAAGCATCTGCAATAGGGATTGGCTAGCTGCCCTATTTGACAGGTATCCTTGAATAAGAGTGGCCAGCTATTATATATATATATATATAGATATATATATATATAAACATGTTTTGTAGCATAATATCAACATGTTCTGTCTAATTTTTTATTAACTTTTTCAAATTTCTAAATTAGTTGTTTTACATAATTGGTAAATTTACAATAGCTCATTCCCCCCCCCCAAGCACTTTTGAATTTTGCTACATTTGTTTTTAAGGATATTGGTTTTTGTGTGTTTATGCAACTGTTCTTGTTTAATTCCAGTGTTTGCTGGAACAAATTTCCAGTCATTCAAATTGATATTATTTACAATGGTCAAACTGAATTCTTATGTGTATTTTAATTTTTTTTATCCACATTTGAATAAAAGAAATTAATTAAAATACTTGTAATACATTATATTATATATATATATATATATATATATATATATATATATATATATATATATATATTATTTGACAGAAATTGTTCTTATTAAAAAGAATAGACATATTATGTCTATTAAATTTATTTGTTGTTTTTTTTTCTCATATGCAAATATTGTTTTGAAAGTATGGCTGTTGTCGATGTATAAAAATAGCCAAAATTGATATTTTGTCCAAGCTTTCAACTCACATGAGTCATAAGATAAAAAAGAGATGAAAATAAAAGAAAATTTAATTGAAGCAGAACATTATTTTCAAAATTCTGTTGCACTGGATTTAGCTTTCAAACAAAATATAATGACACTTAAAACAATTTGCTTAAAATACATTTAATCTTCTTTTCTCCTTACTCACATTCTTGATGGTGACACATATAAATCGAAAACTTGGACAAAATATGAATTTTGGCTATTTTATACATCAACAACAGCCACAGTTGCGAAATGTTACTCCAATATTGGAGAGAGATAATTTATAGATTATATATTTATTAAATATTTATATATATATATATTTTATATACAAGAAGAAATATAGTTTTAAGGTATGTTATATTTATGGGATAAAGTCCTCAATATCAGAGATAGAGCATATGTAAATATAAAAGAGAACATTGAAGTCAATACTCAGAGGGGACAGGCTGTTTCATTCTAGATGCAATCGTCAAGCTTGACGATTGTGTCTAGTATGAAATGTTCATTTTATATCAATATTTTATACTAGACCACTTGACAGATGGATAAACTCCATCACCTGTTCAACCAATTTCTTTGACCACTTGAATAGCACTATATATATATATATATATATATATATATATATATATATATATATATATATAGGCAGCATATCTAAGTTCAAGCATGTTTCATTGAACAATCTAGGCATTTACTTAAATTAACTCCCTTACATAGCAGAAATTTTTTTTTCGAATTTTACAGTGTTCATAACTTATATTAATTCTTTGTCTTAGTAATTTACCCCTGAAGATGATCTTAGATGAGATTGAAACTACTTGTAAAAATAAAAAATATAAAAACAGCAATGCTGTCTTTCTCCATTAATTTTATAATAACACTAAGAAATTGATATGCGAATATGAAAGGATTAAAATGAAAAGATATATATATATATATATATATATATATAATAAAAATATTATAATATATATACATGTAATAAAAATATTATAATACATATATGTATTATAATATTTTTATTATAACCTTGCAATAAAACCATTTTATAAATATACGAGCAGTAGAGCCCGGCGTTGCCCAGGGATGTAACAGTAAGAGATAGATCAAGTATCGACCATCATAAAGACTGAAAAATAAAATTGACAAAGATTATTGTTTAAGGTTGATGGACACGCATGTCTTAAATAGTTTTTTTTTTTTTTTTACGAATTGGTCAAACCCAAACTCAAACAAAAACATTGTTTTCAATCGTTATGAGTCTACCGATTGAATAGAATTTTATTATAAACAATTGTCTTGTAAATGGAATTTTTAAAGCATTCTGAATGTAAAAATAGAAAAAAGTGTGCAAGACAATAAGAAACACTACTTGCCAAAAAAAAGTGAAATTTTGTTGAAATCGGTTGAAAAATGTAGGAAATCCGATCCCATATATAAAGGAACACACACACACACAACCTGGGTTTTATAATAAGTATAACTCGATATGAATTGTCCCCCTTTCATTCTGGTGACAGTGATGCCTCTTAATCGTGTTTTCAAATTGATTTCATGCAAAAACAATTGTGTTTTTCCAATTTTTGGTGCTGTCAGAACCACCGCAAGGTAATTTTATGTAGTCCTGTGAAGTTTTGTTGAAATCGGTTGAAAAATGTAGGAAATCCGATCCAATACATAAACGAACAGACACACACACACAACCTGGGTTTTATAATAAGTACGATTTGTATATTTATAAAAATAGTATGACAAATTGGAAAAAAACTTTTTGTGACACATTTCATCCATTAGGATATTACTGGACTAGGTTTTGTTGATGTTTCCCCATCTACACACACACGATATGAAAAATGCTGGCAGTTTCAAAACTTCTGAAAGAATATATATTTTTTTTTTTTGAAAGAATATTTTTTTAATCTAGCCAAATTCATCTATATTCTTTTTCTTTTCATCACCTTTATCCCTGACAATTCCACATTGTGACAATAGAAAATCTATCAAGAATGGTGATATATTGTAAGAGCCTGGATACAAATTTCCTGTGGCTGAACTAGTGATCAAGGCATTTTCCAGACATGTTCGTCTTAGTTGGTTATTTTCTTTTTTAATCAAAGTAGCATTCTCTATGCTAAAATTGTGGTAAATAAATTCACACATCCAGGGTTTAAATAGGAATTTAGGCATACTCTATGAATACAATTTCCACAAAAAGCCATCTGCAAAACATCTTGAACCCTAAATGTAGCAAACAATGAACCCAAAACTATGAGATTTCATCAGGAATTTACAAATTTCCTCAAAAAGTTGATCTTTATCTTATTTCTTGTTGAGATTTTTTAAACATATTTTCTCATCATTGTTCTAGAAGCCTAATAATATACAATAAATATTATTCTTGTTTATATTTCTGAGATGAGGGATTGTAATTATTTACATGATTTACATTGTACAGACTGTTGTCCTCATTTTTGCTGCCATCTTCACAACGTTTCAGACGTTGTCTGTTCGATACCTGGCTACTGCAGTGATGAACAAAACCTTGGAGAATTGAGTTAAAGTGAGATAACTGAGACAACTGGAAGAGGCATGGCAAATGGAACTAGAACAATCTACCCCAGTGGATGAAATAAAGAGTTTAGTTTGAAATTCCAATCACCTGAAGAAGGCCAGAGTATACAATGGCCAAAGCATCATGAATATGATAAGGAAGATGAGGACAACGGTCCAAACAATGAAAATAGTCTAAATAATTATTATTTTTATTATCATTATTATTACTGTTGTTCTATTTTTAATCTCTCAAATATCTATCAACACACTATTTTATATATATATATATATATATATATATATATATATATATATGAGAGAGAGAAAACTTGCTAAGTAAGGGTGTCAAATACTGAAAAAGAATTTTAAGACCAGACAGAATAATGAAATTGGTCAGAAAATAAAGTGTATCTGTCACTCTCCAAATTATTTCATTGTTAATTGATAAAGTCTTCTACATATTTGAAATTATACAAGATAGTGAAACAAGTAACAAAAGTAAGTGAATTTATTTCTCTTCAAAATGATGAGTGATAAATAAAGTTTCTAATTCTATAAAACAAGTTTTAGATCATAGAATAATGCAGTAAATGTTTCTTTGAAATTACTTGGGTTGACTGATAAATATGGTTTCCTATCTTATAAAATAAATTTTAGACAGGATAGAATAATTAAATTGTCATAAAATTAAGTAAACCTATTTTTCAAACTTCGGAAGGTTGTTTGATTACTAAGGTCTAGAAACTCATAAAACAAGTTTTAGACCAAATAGAATGATGAAAATGGGATCAAAATAAAATTAATTTATTTCTCTTCAAAATTACAATGGTTGATTGATAAATAAGTTTTTTAATCTTATAAAACAAGTTTTAGACCAACTAGAATAATTAAACTGTGATCAAAACTAAGTCAATTTATCTTTCGTCAAAAATGTAAGTTTAATTTTCAGTAGAGTCACTATTTAGGGCTGCTATTTTTCCATGGCTTATGGCCACATGAGGTTGAAACACCAGTTCTCATATGATCACTGAAGTTAAGCTATGTTGAGCTTGGTCAGTACCAAAGTGGGTGACTGCTTGAGAATACCAGGTGCAGTAAGTTTGGATGTGTAGGTGGTATAATGGATAATGGCTCAGGATTGTTATTCAGGCAGCTGAGGTTTAATTCCTGTAGGGTTCATTATATTCACTCACACACAAATATCATTGGGAAAGGTAGGAATCCAGCTCTTCTCCCACCAGCTATGGATTAATTAGTAAGACTTGTATGACTAAATTATTTTTTTTTTTAAAAAAATATCTTACAATCTAAAAATATTTTCTGGCTTTAAATAATCTGCAATGGTTGATAAATTGTAGAAAATGAATCAATCAAAGACAAATTTTTCATGCCATCCATGAATAAATTTTGATTCAGTTTGACTTTTTGCACAGGAATTTCAGCTTCAACATCAGATGCCAAAATGTCGACCTTTCAATGCATCTTTCATTTTTTGGAACAACCAAATCAGAGAGTGCAAGAACAATGACTTCCCCACCTCCCACTGTTTGCTGACTGCATCATTGTCTTGTGATATCATGGTGCAAAAAAAAAAAAATAAATAAATAAATAAAGTCTCTCCTTTCAGGTCTTGGAGGCATTTTCTGAGTGTTCAGAAAATTTCCTTGCTTGTCTATGTCTGCAAATCAATTTTTGTGTTTAACCTAGATTTTTTTTTTTTTTTTTTAGCATTTCATCTCAACAAGGAGATGATGCCACTAAGACACAAGTGGCTACTGGAAGTAAAAGAGAATGAAAAGAAAAGAAAGGACAATAGAAGAACAGCTTTCAGAAGATGGCAACTGATGTTGTTTTTAAATTTTTGAACATTGTAGTTAGCAGGGAAGCAGGAAATCAGAAGTTCCACAAGTGAGAAAGGAAACTATTAGAATAGAACAGATGATTGTATCTAGTGAGACCTAGCTGCCAATCTAGTAGCAAATTGAAATTCAAACAAGAAGGAAAACTCACCAGAACAACTCTAATGAAAATATTTCCCAAATTATTTATCACCAATCACTGCTTTATATGAACACTATCACTCAATGCTATTAAACAGTGAAAATGACATGAACTAGTTTTAACAGGTCTTATATATTACCCAAAATAATTGAACATCATCTCTCTCCACTATTAACGGTGACACAGGTCGGAGATCTTACTTATTCAATTGTCACACACACATACATACATACATACACACATATATATATATATATATATATATGTATGTATGAACTTGTGTACATAATGCATATGTCCTGGGTATGACGATAAACCACATCCAGCAGCAAGGCCTTTGACTGGGAGATTGGAGGTTTTGAACATGGAACCATCTCTTAACTGCTGTTGTTCCCAGGTCCACCCTGACTTGAGGTGGCAGCACCTGTTAGGGTCCCAGACATGGGCAAATAGTGAGCCCCCAACTAAAAGTCAATAGTACATTTTTATAATAAGATGACCAACAATACATTTTTATAGCTAAAGGACAATCAATGCAACACTAAAAAAATATAAAAATACATTTTATAGCAAAATTACCAACAATACATTTTATGATCTACAAAACATATATTTAAGAAAACATACCTTTACTCTGAAAACATAAAACTATGAATAAAATATCTCTGGTTGAAAGCATAAAATTACATACAAAATATTTAGATTTTGGCATAGAGGTTGATAAGCTGCTAAACAAAATCGAACAACAAACATAATGCATATATTTAAAGACATACATTAAAATAAAAACTTAAAATTTTTTTACGCAATGATGGTAAATGAGTTTTAGTCAATTTAATGAATAATATTTAAATATTGAAATGTATTCATTTGTGACACTGAAGCATTAAGTTGGCTAAACATTAATTTTAAGCAGAAAAAGAAACACGCTAACCAAAAGTGAAATATAGGATGGAGAGAGAGAGAGAGAGACATTTTCCTTGGTGAGAAGTGAGTTAGAATGGGATGTCTTGATTGAAAAGTTTATTTTTTTTTATCTATCGGGGATTTAGTGTATGGACAAAAACATATTCAGAGAAATGACTTTATCTCTTTTTTCTTGATAAAATAGAGAAACAAATATATTTTTCATTGACAAAAATGAAAACAAAAAGCAAACTCTCTTTCTTAGGTTATGAAGATCAATCATATTGTGCTGAGATGGTGATTTGGTTAGAGTTTTCACTGAGACAATGACCGACCCACGGATGGGAAACAGAGAATGTCTTTGTAGAGAATTTAGGTAAACAAATATATTTTCCTTGATGAAGACAGATTTGGGAACTAAATTTATCTCTTCCTGGAAAAATTAGAAAAACACATTATTGATGTAAAGAGAAGCAGATGAGACTCCTACATTTGTTGATAAAAAACAAAAACAAGGAGTGAACCCTTTTCCTTAGGGTTGAGGTTGTGAAGATCAATCATGTCGTGCCAAGAAGGTGTTCTAGTTTGTGCAAAAAGATTCAAATAATTAAAATAAAATTAATGAGGAGAATAAACCACACCCTTTCTCCTACACATTTTGGAAATTAGATTTGTCACAAGGGCAGTAATGCACCCTGAGAAGTGGGCAGAGTTAGAGTACCGAGAAGGAGGGAAAAAGGGGCAGAGTTTGGCCCTGCCTGTGCAGAGTGGCAGGGAAAGATGTGAAGTGGGACAGGTGGGGGTTAAGGGAGAAGCAATCCCTGTGATGCTCTTGGGTAGGGTGGATGGTTTTCCAAATTTGGAAAGTTGTTTGTTTCCTACCTCCACTCTCTCAAAGAAAACCCTTATTTGAATTAATGAAAATTGGGGAATCAGTGAACTCCTAGAACCCTTTCGCTTCATGCCAGCTTTGGGCCAAAGTGCATATAAGAAGATGACTTTGGGGAGCTCAAAAAACTTGGGCTGAGAAGTCACATTGATTACTTTTTGAAACCAGGCCAGCTGCCAACCACAATTCCTGATTCCAAGACTTTGAACCGAGGCTTTCAGAAGTTTAGACAAGACCCAGTGTCACTAGAGAGATTGATGCAGGAAGGGTTAATTTTTGTTGTATCGAAAGCTATATAAACCAATTGAAGATTAATCGCACACATCTCTTATTTTATTTTTTGTTGTGAAGACATTTTTTTCCTTAATATAGCACCAGCCACAGCTTGACCAGTGCTGTGAGACTATGACGACATTCAACCTTCTTCTGCTCTGAGATCAAGAACACAACATAGACAGAGTTGGTGTGGATTGAAGCGGCCAGTGACCAACAACCAGCTTGGACCAACATCTGCATTGGTCAATGCAGAGTTAGCCCATGGTTAAAGTGACATCTTACGACCCTGAGGACCAGACCACTAAACATGGTTACTGGTGCTGGTGAGCACAGATGTGACCCTGTTGCAAGGGGGTGGTGAACATCAATATACACAGAAATGGAAGGTAAATCTAATTGCATTTCAGTGATTTATTTCAGTTAATATTTTCATGACATACAAATGGATATAGATAGATGAGGACTGTTTACAAATTACTACAGCATGTGCCAAAAAAAAAAAAAAAAAAAATGAATATGTTATTTTCGTTACTAGCTTATCCCCTGAAACCTGTGGCAAAGCAATGTAGTTATAGAAAATACATTGGTAACCTTAAGGAGGTGGAAAAGGGACTGGAGCTGAGCCGCCAGATCAGGATCAATAATATTGCAGATTCTTATTTGAATTTTATCAAGGAGCTCAAAGTAAATAGGGGTGCCGAATCATATGTGGCAGCATGGGCAATTGGCAGACTTATAGATATTCAAGATGGATTCTGGAGAGAAAAATTGTCTTGCACGACACAGTGAACCATAATTCTTAGTAGCTGATCCAGCAATGGATTCAATATAGTTTTTCCACGTCATGTCAGCAGAGAATGTTAACACCTTTACACTGAGAAACCCTCTCAACATGATTTTTGTAAACTTCAATTTCACATACCTTTCGTTATGTTTTTGTAGTTCTTTGTAGTTGGAATAATATCCTGTATTTTTCTGAATATTGTATTTTGAACAACTTGGTTAATGTCCATGTAATCCTTAGAAAATCCTTGTAGCCAAAAATGTTTTGTAGCTTTGGTAATTTCTTGATCTTCCTTCAACAATTTATCCTTGGTGAATTTTTACATGAGTTTTGGTGATATATCTTCGTCCATAGAATATTGTATTCGTGAACATTTATGTGAGTTCTGTTCTTTCTCTTGTGTATTATCATGTGCCTCCTAAGTCCAGAGGATGACCTGAAAACCTTGTTGCAAACAACACAGATATTGCTGGAAGGACGACGAGGCAGGTTGGCATAGCAGACTTGAGTCTGGTTATTAAGATGACCTTTCAGATGGTTCATATAACCTGCCGTCAACAACAGCATGAGCTCACACACATTACATTTCCAAGACTGTATATTAGTTTGCAAATCAGAGTAAGTGCCTCTTTGTAGGTCACGCTTGATCTGAGCATGCCTAAGACATTCATCCTCAAAGGCATAGAATCCCCTCAGACTAAAGTGCCTCCAGTCTGTATGATTATATATATATAGCCATACATTTTTGTTAAGGCAGGACTGAGATTAATTTTTCGCAAAGCAAAGTGGGTCCTGCCTGGTGAACGATTCGTCAATGATTTGAGGTATGGTTTTACAAGGTTGAATTCTTTCTTCCTGGCATCCAACTCAGACACTCATGGTAGTCCATGTACACTGAGTGTTTTTTATTGAGACACCATCTCTAGGAAGGTTGGCAGTTAAGGCTTAAGGCTCATTCTAGCATTATATATATAAATTTTAAAGATTACTGAATACTTAAAAATGATATAAAAAAGGTGTTCACATCATATTCTTCAATTATGTTTAATAGATAAAGTCTCTGTAGAACAACATTAGATCTATCAATACACTCTCAACACATCTACACAACTATTGTCAGGTTAAAAAATGTATTTCTGCAATATTTTAAACTTAAATAATATTTGTTTCAAATCTGATTAATTACAAGGTAACCAAAAAAGTTCTGTCCGTTTTCAAAGGAAAAAAAGAAAATGCTTCAC